AGAGAGAGAGAGAGAGAGAGAGAGAGAGAGAGAGAGAGAGAGAAGCGAAATATCTACCGACTATGACTAACAGCCCATGACTCGCTCTATTTCCATTCAAACATATATAAATATCTTTTGAGGCTTCCACGGGTATCTTCTTCAAAGAAGCTGTATGGTTTGCGGGTTATCTCCATGTCTTGGAACATTATTAAATATCAATATTTCATGAATAGTTTACTTCATCATAACGAGAGCAATCTAATGCCGGTTTATTTCATCAGAGTGGTCCTCGCTCTGATGAAGTGAATTGCAGTGTTTATAAAACGTTGGCATTTAAGGCAGAGTTTGACAAGGTGGGCTCAATTCAATAAAACTCAACGATCATTTCATCTTGGGGTTTTTAAGTGGATTTTTTTAATGGGTCCAACCCAATAAAACCCGGTGCGTTTACTAGTGTTTACTCAATGCATATGCGTAACCTTTTTTCTTTCACAAACGTTTTTCGACTATTTACTGACTGTCAACAGGGGCAAGGATAGTCCCGACCCATTTTTACAAGTGTTTCACAGCAATCTTATTATTCCGTTTTATTCAAATTGTCTTTATTTACAAATGATACAAGAAAAATCAACATGTCATTTCTCGCTTATGATTTCACGATTCAATATGGCTGAGGCGAATACTCGGGAGCCTTAATAATATATGCCAAGATATAAGAATAATCCGCAGACCATGTAGTTTCTTTAACATATACATATTTTCGGCATTTAACATAAAAACTTTGGTATGTGGTAAATCGTAGTATTAACATTTGCTAATAATTCGTGCACATTTTGTGCCGTTATATATTATTGTTTGGAGTTTATTTGTAATAAAATACTTGACGAGAGGATTTTATATGGACGTCTTGCGTAATACTTGTATAGAGAGAATTAGTGTCTTGTAACTTTCATCAAAATGCAAATTGAAACGATATCATATGCATTCAAAATGAAAGTGTCCACAAAAATTTCTTAATTCTCTTAACTCGTGACGCTGCAATAGAATGAAAAGCCGAATATGTCTTAAGAAGATATTAGAATCACATGCTGTCATTATTATGTACCACTCGATCATGACATGAACAAAGCACCCCGGTGTTATTTATTGCTATTATTCGTTCGGCAAGCCAAGACAAAAGGCAAAAAAGAACGTTGAGGAGAAGGATAATGAAAACGAAACGAAACATAAGGAAAGGAAAAATGAGCGAAGAGGAAAGAGAATTTATTCGAAAAACGTTAGAAACAAAAGGTAAAAAGAAAGGTAGAACATAAAGAAATGACGCTATTTGAATGTTTGGTATTGCAGACGCGGCGGGTTGCAGCAGCAGTGAATCAACAGCTATACCTGGCATCATAGTTCGCGAAAAGTCAACCGTTACCCATAAACAACATTTACCCATAAACAACTCTTCTGCTGGATACCTTTATCCACCATCGTGCGCCAAGATGCCCAAAGTTCACTACACACGGAGCCGCAACAACGGCCTGCATCATTCTTCATCTTCCTTCAAACGACGATACGTCCATTGTACTGGATGCCTTGACACATCATCGCGCGCCAAGAGACCCAAGATGGCCAAAGTTCACGACACACGGGACCACAACAACATGCTCCTGCATCTTTCTTTAGCTTCCTCCTCCTCCTTCTCCTCTTCCTCCTCTTCCTCTTCCTCCTCTTCCTCTTCCTCATTGATGTGTTTATTGCCTTCATCATCGCATCAAACAATTAAATGCCAGAAGATGCTTGAAGCATTTGACGACGATAACTCTAGTACGCGTAGCGGAAGTACGAGCACGAGGGATCCAAGTAGCGACGGTCAGCAATCCGACTATGAGGAATTATCATCCGATTGTAGATTATTCACGCAAAGAGACACGATTCCATTTAATTTGAAGCTAAAGGAGGTGCGAGTGAAGTTGTCCGATGTTCTGCGCAGTGAAAAGCATCGAAAATTAGTCGCAGCAGCGCTTGCCAGATCCTCTTCCGCGTCCAACAAGAATAAGATGAATCTCTGGGAAGTGGAGAAAATTCTACAAAAGCGAGAACATAGGGGACAATCACACTATCTGATCAAGTGGAAAAACTGGGATGTCAATCACAACTCATGGGAACCATTGCAGAATCTCAAGTGTGAAGAACTAATATGTGAATTTGAGAACGAGCGGAAAAATTTGATCGCTCAATTCGAGATAATGGTAAATTTCTATCCAGACAAATTCGATGTTGAGCTTCTTCTGGCGCGAAAATATGAAAAATGTAATAAAACGATCATTGACGCTACAGACGATGCTATTGTTGCCATCGCTGGGGATACTATGTATGCCGAAATTCGACGTTACCTAAATTCAAACTCGCGCGATACCGAGTTGGAGGAAAAGATCAAACGGCAGATGTTGTACATGCTGATGCTTGAGCTGCGGCGTGACCAACTTGAATCCTTAAAGAATTGGGAGACCGAAATGAATGATGTTGCGAAGGGCAAACCGACGATAAAAGTGGAGAACCTAGTGGATCTGGCGAGTGCACCGCAAAACTTCAAGTATATCAACGAGTATGAGTCAGATGAAAATCAGGTTAAGATACCGGATGATCCACCGGTTGGTTGCCACTGCGAAGGCACGTGTGGGACCGATAAGAAGTCTAATTGTTGTTTTGCACAGAACAACGACAAGCAAACGTTGCCATACACGTCGACGGGCCAGCTATGCGTGATTGCAGGGACACCTATCTACGAATGCAACAAGCGTTGCACCTGCGACGAGACTTGTCCGAATCGGGTGGTACAATTAGGTACCAAAGCACAACTGTGCATCTTCCGAACGAACAATGGACGTGGCTGGGGTGTGCGCACCCAATGCGCGATCAAGAAAGGCACTTTCGTGATCAAATACGTGGGTAAAGTGATTAAAAGCGAGGACGCAGATAATCGTAGTAGAGAGTACAATGAGACAGGTTGTACATATCTCTTTGACCTCGACTACAACCAACAGCCGTGCCCGTATACCGTGGATGCAACTAAGTGTGGCAATGCGTCACATTACATTAATCATTCTTGTAATCCCAATCTCAAGGTCTCGGTGGTTTGGATCAACTGCCTGGATCCGGATTTGCCCGATCTCGCGCTATTTGCTCTCAGGGATATTGAACATAATGAAGAACTTACATTCGATTATGGTACGCAGATGTCGCGCAACAATCCGACTGTGACAAATAGAGATACCTGCAGATGTGGTGCCGCGAATTGTCGGAGATATTTGTTTTAAGGAGTATGCTTGCCATGTAACTTTCGTACGCGTCAATAGATGTTGATTTTGCATTAGCAACGACTATAATTTGGAAGAGAAGAATGTACTCAGGACTAACTGAGATGAGAATAGTAACTCGGCAGTATAATTACTCAAAATTTCGTTTGCAATTATTTTTCTTAGCTCAGTTTCTATCTTTTTTGATTGAATTATAATTGCGCCAGCAAAGTTGTGAGTAATTATAAAGTTATTTAACTTGCTATTAACAAAAAGTGATTTTATTATATATAATTGCTACAATCCTTCAAATTTTAATGCATTATTTTTATTGAATGCTAAATAATTAATTTTAATATTATAAAAGTGTCAAGCCTGCATTATATAAAAGCAGTTTTTTCAGTAAAATGTAACATAAAAGCTTTTGAAAGTTTAGTAACTATATAAAGTCACTGTTGTATCTCATTATAAAGTATGTATTTTGATCATAATTCGCAGTTGATGCGATAGCAAATGATTTTAATTGTATCTATTTTGATGCTTGTTGAAGAATTGAGACTTTAAAGTACAAACTACAAACTTTAAACTGAGGAAAAAGATTTTTGTGGTAAATAAGTTAGGAAAAGAAGAAAGTTGTGGATGAATATAGAAGAAAGACATAAAAAAAATGTTACTAGGAGAAATGTTAAGCTAGGAGATAAATAAGACTGCACACAAACTTTTTAATATTGTTATTGAATAATAATTATTAATGTACTAAGTTTCATGAATATACTGAATCGTTACATGAGAGTGAAGCAAAGCCGATTATTGCATGGTTTTGTTTTAATACATTTTGTACTAATTTTTATACTCAGCTAATTGTACAAATTAAACACAAATATACAAGAAATATAGTTAAAAATTCACCTTCTTCAATCACATAGTAACGTCGAGTTTTATTGTATATTACTCTTACAATTTCTATATTAAGGCTACTGAGTAGTCGCGGCGCTCATGTTGGAATCGTGACGTCAGAAGCGAGGAATGACACGTTAATTTATGCACGATGCCATTTGTAAATAAAGACAATTTGGATAAATCTAAATGACGAAATCGCTTTAAAACACCTGTAAAAATAGGCACAAACTGTTCTTTCCTCCCTTGATAGTCAGTAAATGGTCGTAAAAGTGAGCCTATATTCTGGCAGAAACACGGTTTAACAGCTGTTGAAACGAGTGAAATTTACACTTTTACATATAAAATTCCAAAATAACTATAGTTTCTGCCCATTTTTAGGACTTTCGTAAATACGAGACAAGTCACATTTTCACAATTAAGCAAATAATAACGAAATAGCATCGTGCACAAATTTCGTCGTCAAAATGTCACTTTTCTACACTTATAAGTTTAGCCATTTATCTTGGCGAGGCGCTGTAACACACACACACAAGCACGAACCCATGTACATGTGCTCGCTTTCGGTGCGCTGAGAGCACATGACGTGAGCTCGTGCTTGTGTGTGTTGCGATTTCGCCATATTTCGCCAGGTCGCCGATTGATTTTGAGTCACATGCTGACTACTCAAGCCTTAATATGTTATTTCTTTCTATTTTTCTTTTCTTTTTTTTTTTTTTGGAGAACGCATATTATATATTTCTTGAGTTATACAAAGTGTCCCCTACAAATTTAGAGTAACGTTGAGTTCTCCTTCATATTCTGTTGATTATATTCAAAGTAAAAAATAATTAAAAAATATAAATTGAGTACAGAAAGTAATAACACAGAGATATCAAATGGGTCATAACACTGTCGAACTCTTAAGATATAATCCTAAAAGTTTTTTTACTTCGAAGGGGACATGAGATGCTACCGTTGGTTTAACCTTGATAACCTGGCATTAGTGAGATCAGGGTAAGATTTGAACTTTTTGAATGGAACCACCCATTTTTCATTACATATTCTTGTAGCTTACCTTGAGAGCTTTTCAGAACATTATAATAAGCTATAAGAATCTGTAATGAAAAATGGCGAGTTCCATTTAAAGAGTTCAAAGTGTTTGAGTAGATCCTTTAAATGGGATACCCTCTGTATATAGATATCTGCGTATATCTATATACGTATTACGTTTTGAACGTGTCAAGTTTACAGTGTCTTCTAATTAGATTTTAGAGAAAATCTAGGATCTTGTTTACTCCAACTTTTGTAAATGTAAATGATACGTTTAATTATGTATATAATTAAAGATATTTCAGAAAATAAAATTAAAGAGGAAAGACTTCGAAAATTAGAAGACGCTACGAATATGAATTATTTAGTTAAGCATAAACAATGTATTAAGATACTGTTATAATGAAAACGCTAGAATACATATAAATGCATTCTCAGTATCTTGATATTCATCAGCACATTGATTGTATGTGTCGATTTTTATGTATTATGACCGTGCGCCATAGAATTTATAAATACATTTATTTAAAATAAATAACTTTATTTAAAAATTACTTAGAAGACTTTACTGTACATATATTGAAGAGCAAAAAAAATAATTTTTTTATACACAAAATGGCGGCACATTAGTCTTTTTGCGAAATTGCAACATGAACATTTGCGTGCAGGTTTTCTGTGAGATTTTCCCGAAAAATGTACTTTTCTATAAATAGCTACTATTTTGAAAAAAAATTAATATTTTCGAAAATCCCTACGTACTTCAGAAGCTTATTATATGTATAGATAATATGGATATATTTGTTGCTTTGTTCCAGGATAAACCATCTCACAGAAAACCTGCACGCAAATGTTCATGTTGCGATTTTGCAATGTGCCGTCATTTTGTGCATAAAAAAATTAAAAAAAAAATTTTTTTTTCCTCTTCAATATATGTACAGTAAAGTGTCTTCTAAATAATTTTTAAATAAAATTATTTATTTACCCCACAATAAATTCCTCAAGGGTGACGTTATCCCTTAATGTAATGTCATGAAATTAAGTTCAAATTGTGTGACTTAAAAGTATATTAAATTTCAGAAAATTTTCAGTATATATTTCTTCGGTAAACACGATAAGTTCCACGGAAAAAGGTACTCTATTTTTATTCCAAGGAATAAAAATATTCCGATTATTTTTATATTGCATACATTAGATATAGTAATTGATAGTTATTAGAAAATCTTTGTAAGAGGATCTCTAGACATTAAAGGCAGAAGTCGATTTTTTATTCTGAATGATGGACAATTAGATACACATTATGCATGTAAAGCATAATGCGACAAATTCTCCACAACTAAAGAGTCTGGGTATTATAATCATGAAATTTTATCCCTAGGATGGAAAGCGAAAGGTGAAAATTTTAACCATTGAAGTTAATAGAGAAATTTTTCACTTTTCACTTTTCATTCTAGGATGAAAGTTTCATGATTGATACCCTGATCGCGTTAAGATTACCAAAGAAATCACCTGTAAAATTGTATGACAGTATACAATTCGATTTCCGCTATGGAAATATCGAAGATGAATACATTCATACATATGCTTTTCTGTAACAATATCACAGCTAACAACATTAAATATTATCGCATTGCAGTATTAAATAACTATAAAACCGAGAAATTGTTTTACGTTGTCATTGTATCTTTTGATCACATCGGGATATAAATATATATTAATTAAAAATAAGATTTGTCTTTAAGTTGTATTGTTATCTTAGAGGCGGGACTGTCTTGAGACCGTGTACATGCACCACTCTATCGTCGTATTCTCTTCATAGAGAATTTCAATCGGTGACTATTTTCTTACATCTTTTCAGACAAAAAGTCTTCGTAAGAAGATTTCTAGGAATTAAAGATCGGAAGTCGACTTTTTATAATTTTGGTCCACAACCTCGCTTTAAGAGGCCTAAAGTCATAAGTCGAAAGAGATTAAGTGACAATAATTTCTGCCTTTAAACTGTTAAACTTAAGCGAATTGAGCCAAACCCAATTCTTACCGCCTAAAAGTACAAGTTCTGTGACCGATATATCATCGCTTACAACTAAAGCTTACGGCCTTTTAAAGCAAGGTTGTGGACTTAACCTTAGTCTGAATAGTTAGATACACATTATGCAATATATAAAGCATAATTCGACTATATAAATTCTCCTAAGCAACTAAGAGTCTGATTGCGTTAAAAGATATGAAAGAACAATCACTGTAACAATTGTGTAACAGCAGTTCGATTTCCACTATGGAAATATAGAAGATGAACACATTCTCACATATGCTTTTCTGTAATAATGTCGCAGCTAACAATATCAAATATTATTGCGTTGCAGTATTAAGTAACTATAAAACATGAAAATTTGTCTTACATCGGTAGTTGTCATCATATCTTTTGACCACGTCGGGACGTAGAGGGTCGACGTAAACATATGTTAAGTTTACTTTGTAAAACTAAGTTTGTAAAACTAAGATTTATTTTTAAGATAGTTATTTTATAATCAGGACTGTTTTGAGACCGTGTACATGTGCCACTCTATCGTCGTATTCTCTACACAGAGAATCTCGATCGGTGAATATTTTTTTACGTCTTTTAGATAAAAAATTTCACTATTTATATATATGTCGATGAGCTTATGGCATTATTTATGTAAGTCGGTATTATAAGAGATCAAATAGTTATAGTTAAGAAAGAATAAAATTCCTGTAAAATTAATTCGTGCGGACGTTATGTCGATGGATGAACTAAAAATAAAGTTTTTTACGAGATGAACTCTGTGATTCATCGTGTTTATCTCTTCTCAAGTAAAATTCTATTATAAAAAAATTCTATGACATGTTTATTTTCCATAGTTTATTTCCCACAGCACAAAATTATTATACATTATTTTGATAACATTTTGATAACATATAATGCATGTAGTTAATTTATTGTACAAAGTTTTATAACGATAAAGTAAGTTGTCTGATAAAGACCACAAGCAACTAGATACGTGGATTGACATCACATATAACAAATATATTTTTATGTCTATAATATACATATAGCTATTAAAATTAAAATTCTTATGAATTCACGCTAAAAAGGAATTTATTTTGAACAGTATACAGCGCTTGTTAAACCCTTTTCGAAGATAAATAATTCTTGCCAGCTGAAGAAAAAAAAAGAAGGGCAAGTTATCTGA